AAATATATATATATATATATAATAATTTTTTGTTAGTAAGTGCTAAATCATCATCTTTATATTTTTGCACATCTTCACTTAATTGAGATAGTTGACGATGTCTACCTCTGAATCTTTGTATTTAAATCTATTTATAAAATAAATGTTACATTCTACTCACACATATGATACAAAACCAAATTCTTCGTGCTCCCATTGTATTTCTGGAACGCTCGGTTAGTGGGCGCAAACACGGTCACGTGGCGGTACGTGAGGGTAGTATTGGCCACTTGACTAGCTTCCAGGAGCTGGTAAAACTGCAACAAAAAAAGCAGAATATGGTTTTACAGTTCGATCTGATCATTTCTTTGTTAATTGAGGCTACCAATTAACGGGCACATATAGCACACATAAAAAAGAGGAAAATGCTTATTATTATACCCTCTGTGGCATTATACCCTCTGTGCGTGCCCTCATCGCGCGACAAAATTAAACAATCGTCCACCGCGCTCAAAAGAACCGGGTTGTTGGAAGTCGTTAAATTAATCATCATCTCCGCATGATAAAAGCAGGAAACGAGCGATCGATTCTGCTTTTCTGACGTCTGGCTCTTATGAACCCTTCTACGCAGCAGAAAGAGAAAAAAAAAATCCATATCCAACGGGAATATGCCCCGAGCAATTCACGTCAACGGGGATTAAAGTCGTAGTTCACATCGAGTTGCAAGCTCGAGTTCGACGAGCACGCACGCTAAAGCATTTAATCCGACGTGTCGGTTGAAATTTTCCGAGGACTTTCATCTCCCACGGCGGCCGCGGCACAAAGGAACCTCGTTAGTTATCAATGCTTAATTAGCCGGATGTAAAGTCCGATCTACTGGCGAGTATTACGAGGCACCCTTCCTGCCGATTCCTCCTCTTTCTGTCGAGCGTCGCGTCGCTTGGGAATTAAGGATAAAAAAACATGTAAAAAGCTGAAAGCCATCAAGTTGTTTACAATATGTTGAATATATATTTCCATGATATTTTCATATTTGTAGAAGCTTGTTTTTCAAAACTTACAATAAATTGTTGTGTAATTATAACGCAATCATTTTTTTCGTTTGACATCGTTCTTCTTTCTTGATATAATTGTTACGTTATAAGGATTATAATAATTATTATGTATGTACCGTAACGTTGTATATTTTGTTTTATTTTATTAAAAATTAAGTTATAATATCCTTTTTCATAATAAAAATATTAGTTTGGTTTTGACTTTTTTTATTTAACATTGGGGAATCGCCGATAATATCCCGCTAATATAATTATCAAAGATCAAAATTGATGATTCCTATCCCGCCGTTTTCGGTTAGTAAAAAATTATTATTTGTATTATATTCACATAATTTCATAGTTTCAGTTTTCAACATTTTGTACTACACATTTCTAATACGAAAAGGGAAAAAATTGACATGATAATGAGCATAAAATATTTTAATAAGATTCAATTCAGCATTCACGTTATTTTATGGCAGTTATGCGTGAACGTGTGCAACTAGTTTTGGAATGTACAGAAACAAACGAACTCGTTCGCGTTAGACACAGAAAGTATGCCGGATAGTATGATAAAACTCGCGCTACCATTGGCTTTGTCGATTTTATGATGCGTGTGGCATTCGAACAAGTTTTACCGCACAAAAGCGTCGCCGAGGTTTCCGATTCTCGTAAAAACTCAGCGCAAGTATCGTAAAAACGCGATTATTTCGTCCCATTGCTTGAAACTCTCGCACTGCCGGGAGAACTATGTCGGCACTTGGCTATAATAAACTGCTAAAGTTTCATACGCAGGAGGCGTACCTTGTCGGTAATTTTTCCGTCGCATATAACCCCGCTGCTCTAATACACTCAATCTTTCAAAGTCTTTCGACTTTGGAATTAATAGAGTAATTTTGCACTTTATATTTTCCTTTTTCTGTAATCTACATTCAAATTACCCTGTACTCGATATTGAACGCGCTTGTTTTATTAAATATTAAATCACCCACAATATTCTTTCTAATAATAAAAATGCTAATCCACTTGATTTTGATTTGCAACTTTTTTATTTAACACACACACACACACACACACACACACACACACATTGGAATCACCGATGATATTCCACTAGACTGTCGAAAATGTCAAATTGACAATTTGTTATCTCTGTTAAAATTATTTGCATTGTATTCACACAGTTTCAATATTTCGTATTATATATCTAATACAAAAAAGAAAACGTTAAAATGATTAGCGAAGCCAAAATGGTATCATCAGCGGTTCCAGTATAATGCTAATCTTGTCTAAAGCAAGACTTCGAAACACCAAGTTATAAGTCGGTCGTGAACCAAAGGTAGATTTACGAATTATTAAAGCCGTAAGTTTCCGTAAGACAATAGGCGGCATTGTCGGAGGCGGGAAACTTTGTTACAACGGTCATATATGCTAATTAGTACACGGTGGGATAATTGGTAGGGAGATTCGGAGCAGGTCTATTAGTTGCATCGGTCGGTTGGCGATGTCGGCAGGAAATTTCTGATTAATTAGTAGAAACTATAGGGTACAGTCCATTCAGCTTCTATACATTTTATGATGATCGACATCGTACGCGACATATAAATTAAGATCTCAAAATTAAAAGTAGCGTGGAGATGTGCAATGCATTCAGGATGCTAATTTTTCGAGAAATGTAATAGAAGGATCTATAATCGGATGAAATTCGCGAAGATGATAAACAGAAAAAAATTTCTCTTTTTCATTCCATTGGGGCCAGTTCAATTCTCGTTAAGGATAACGGCGACGCGAGCCCAATTTGTGAAAAATAATGGTGAAACATGGTTGCAACCTCCTTTATCTTCCTCGTCCCTTATCCTCGCGGCGTTCTCTTATCCCCTTTGCCTTCCTTTAACGAAGCTCTTGAGTAATGGAGACATGTCGTGACTCTCGGCAATTAATGCGAGTTGGTTCGTCGAGACGAGCTCGGTAGAGCGACGGGATTGGTCGGAGGTAGCAGACAAAAGGAGAAAGAGACAGGGCGAAAACAACCCTGCGGATAGAAAAAGATTTTCAGCACGGTAATCGAGACGTCGTGTTTCACGTGTCGATTGTCTTGGTAGAGAGATAGGAGTTTTATCGAATAAAGTATAATACCATTCTATACAATTCTAGAACTTGAGTCGTAATCTCGAGTATAAAATTTTAGTTTATTACAGTCGCTAATTTTGATACTTGGCTCTTGGAATTTATCGCAAATATCACAAAGGACCAAAAGATTCCTTTAAACAGATTTGAATGATCAATTTTTTATTTATTTTTTTTTAGACACGCAGAGAAAAAATATAGCTGTGGCAGTTAAATGTATTCTTATAATAGGGACAGTTAATGTTGTTACTGTCAAAGGTCAATTTATTATTTGCTAAAATTTAGGTGCTGCGAAAAATATTCTCTGTTAGAATAAAATAGCAACCGGCAGAAAATATTTCAGAAACAATTGAAATAAAATGTTTGATTACGTGGCTAATATAGTGAGAAATAACTTACTTAGCTAATCATGTTAAATACTTTTAATTTTAACTAATAAAGTTGGACGTCAGCAGCAAATGTATTTTATCCTCAATAACCAACTTTTAGCAATAACAGCAAAGCTTGGATAAAATTCCTTGATTTCTCAACGGAAAAAGGAAATCCGTCTTTGACAGATTTTAAATGACGAAATGAATCGTTAAAAAAAAAAATTTACATTTATGGATTTATGCTCAAATGAATCTATAAACTTGCTAACGAGATTTTTGCAAAAGCGACCGAGGTGCACTGCAGGATATTATGTATTATTAATGCGGATATAAATATTCGCGTTTGCAAATGTTTCGTTTTCGTATTTTCTGCTTGGCGAATAAAAATCGCACGGCATCGCATCGCATCGTGTTGATGAGTTAAACAGGGGATAAACGAATTCTATGAAGCGCTGTCTAGCCAAAACGAGAATCTGGTACATCGAGACTAGTCGACTATGGAAATTAAATTAAATCGCAACATCAAGATTTATATTTCCTATTTTCTTTCTGCTCCTCTTTGTCTCCTTGGCGCCATTTTATCGCATTACGTGCTTTCGAAATAGCGCGATCGGAAGATAAATCTGCAGCAACGTTTGCCATTTTGTAACAAACGCGATATTGTCCTCGTGCTCCATTTCCGAAGCTTTATATACTTAGCGCGAAAATAGATCTCGAAGAATTTGGATTGGATGTTTTTGAAAATTACAGACCCGCGAAAATTCAGCTTCTGGAGAAGATTTATGCCCTTCGTGTTAAAATTACGCGTATAATAAATAAGCGAGATATGAATCTTAATATTATGTTCCATGTCTTAATTCATGTCTACATTTCAACCTTCGAGGCATTTTATCTCACGGCACACATCAGCGCGGTGGCGTTATGTTACCGGTTGTATTCGTTTAAACCATGCCCACTATTTTTGCTACAGCAAAATGTTTAATGAACGCTCGCCGTGTATTTTGCTTATGTATTTTAGTTATTACACCACGTTATCACAGCACATATCGATTTAATGCAGCAGAAAGAAATAATTACTTTAATTCTCGTATATTTGATACCTCGATATGTAATGCACAACAAAAATACATTACTCGACAATTCGATAATCAATTGGATACAAATTGGTGAATTTGGCGATTACATTTGAGTTATTCCCGTAAAAGTTTCGATCTTCGTAATATTTTTACAAATCTCGTTTTCGACCTGACCTCATTTATGCTTCATTATTTTTTTACGAGCCCTATACTCGTTTTAGAAACACTTCCTCGTTCATCATTTGTATCGTATCTTCGTCACGAACGAGATGGAGTACGCGGCTTGCATACTCTAATTATGTTTTAATTACAATCAACGTAGGAAAAAGAAAGCGAGGAAAAGAGAGGAAGAACTGCAAGCGGCTTCGCGTTTTTACGAGCGAGATTTAACACGAGACGAGGATCGAGTTGCATCCGCCGTAAAATAGGAAGAGCGAAATTTAATTAATGTGAGCATACGTCGAAAGTTTCCCTCGCCGTTTTGTCTTGTAGAAATCACAGCTTAAATTCTTTACGATTGCTGTAATAAGTACAGACGTTCGATTCACGAGTGTTTCTATATCTCTTGTTTCGTTCGTAAACATTATTCTGCAGACAAAAGTCAGGGGTGCAATCCACTTAATACTGCAAATGCTTTGTTGATCAATCAAAAAAGAATTTTATGAATTGATCAAATAAAAAATGCTTCAAAGCATTTGCAGCATGAAGT